TTTTTTTTTTTTTTTTTTTTTTTTTTTTTTTTTTTTTTTTTTTTTTTTTTTTTTTTTCACCCCTCTACGAGCTCATTTTATTTTCATTTTTTTCTTTTTCTCTCTTTCTATTCGGTGTGCAATGGAGTTGACTGTGCGATTGTGCCAAAGTGAGTTCGGGATGTGGACTTTAGCAAGGTTATTTACGTGGGTTCGTTATTTGGTGGTGAGAAATAACATGAGAATGGAAATAAATGACAAAACGTAAATAAATTGAAATAAAATAAAATAAATTAAAATGATAACGTAACTTAAAAGTAAATAAATTAAATTAAAATATAAAAAAAGATGATCAGACATCGTTCGATACAAAATTGATCCAACTTGGTTGATTAAAAAATTATCAAACAGTGTCTCATCGCCCTGAATCACTGAATAAGCGGGTTAAAATATCGTACGAATTAGTCAAGCTTTTCATAGTACACCAAAAAATTGAGTGCTGTGAGCATCTTTGTATACCTAGTCGTAAAAATGATTTTTCTAAATAAAAATATAAGTTTAATCTACGTATTAGTAAAAATAAACAATAGTAGCTGATTTCAATAATTAAAAGTTATAAACATTTTAAAAATGGTTTATGATGTAAAAATAAAGTATTAAAAATATTTACAGGAAAAATCAAGTCAAAAATAGAAGTGTGATTATACGTATTTTCTCGAGCCTGTGAATCGAAAGTATTCACTTTCTGCCGTCAGAGGTACAAAAGTCGTGTATACACCACGGAAGTGGGTAAAAAAAGCCTCAGACCAGATGATGCCCGTATTATTTGAAACGTTTCTTTTACTTTTTACTCTTTAAATATGTGCATAATTTCTAAATAAAAGATCTTGGTGCATTTAAATGTAAAACACACACAGCATTTCACTACGAGAACTAAAATTGTCTTACCCACCAGGACGAAACACTTTATAGTGAAAATATCTAATGGTTTTAAAAACATCGAAAATCATTACCAGCTATATTTTAAAAAGTATACATGTAACACACAAAAATATCTACAACTATTATCTCATGCAAACATTAAAAAGTCTTCATTGTGTATATCGTTAAAAATACTAAAAAAATTCAGCAGTAATTGGCTGTTGGTTTGTTAATGTTGTCCTTAAATTTACAGCTTTGACTATTTTATAATCCTAAAATGTCAGGTACACGTTTTGTCATCGTAGATTTTTGTAATAGATTACATATTAACACATTATTTACCTATTTTAACCCTTTTTTTTCTACGATTGTTACTTAAAAAATTATATTAAAATAATAATAATAAATAAATAAATGCTCCGATAAAAAACGCTTGTAACAAGTAATAAAACAAACAAACACAAAACATGTAACAACAATAACGAGGACGACGACGGTGACAAGAGAACATCAGGATGAATCGTGGAGCGTCCTAGCTGGCGTTTTGTCGAGTGGCGGGCGCAAGAGCCACCAGGGCCACCTGGGGCACCTTCCTGCCAGGCGTCTTTCTGAGCCCGATCATCCGCTGCGCGGTCTGCAGCTGATGCTGGGGATTCGTAGCGCCAGCCGGCAAGGGCGCTATCAGCCTCTCCCTCGGCCTCGTTTTGACTACCACCTCCGGCTGCTGCCTCGGCTGCAGATGCTTCGGTTGGTGCTGCTGTACCGGCTGTTGCTGAGAACGCTGCTTCGGCTTAGAGTCGAGCTCGGCCATCGCCTCCTGGATGGCGTTCTCCAGCTGCGTATTCAATTTACGACTTCTAAAAGGGAAAGTTAAAGCGATCTGTCAGACGGGCTGGCTCTTTTTTTTTTTTTTTTTTTTTTTTTTTTTTTTTTTTTTTTTTTTTTTTTTTTTTTTTT